GGTCAGGGCAGCGTCGGGCTCTGGGGAGGGGGCTTCACCCTGTGCCCAAGTGGGTGTTGTTGACTTGCTGCTGCCTGGGGAGAAGCTGGGGAGTCCAGGAGGAGTCGTATGTGTCCCCCCTCCACCCAAATACTTTGTCTCCTGATGTGCTGTTTGAGTGTGAGTGTGGGTGATGCTGCTGGGGGGTGTGGTTGGTCCGCTGGCAAGGCAGGGTCTGGGCAGGGTGGCAGGTGAGGGGCAGGAGGTGGTTGCTGTGGGTCCTGCCCTGGCCAGGGGCTTCTGCTGCTCCCCTGCTGCAAAGTGCTGACCTCGTGGGGTCCTTCCACTGTACGCGTTGCTGGGAGATGTGCCTCCTGGGCTGCTCCAGGATCCCTGCTCTCTGTGTTGTCTCTCACACTGAGGAGCCAGCAGAGGGCTGGGGCAAGCCAGAGGAGTTTTCCCTGAGGTTGGACTGTTGATCTGATCCCTGGGGTGGCTGCATAGATTGTGTTCCTGGGTGTGGGTGCATCCATCTATTACCAGCTGCTCGAGGCACTGTGCTCTGTTGTCTCATTCCTGCATGGATGCTCAACCTCCCAGTGCCTGGGCTCCATGGTACAGCGAGGTCTCTGACCTCCCTGGTGCTGGGAAGTGGCAAGCACCTGCTGTGAGGAAACCTTTAGAGGGCAGGTGAATCCCCCAGCCCAGCTGTGGGGTGCCCTGCTTCCCCTGCTGTGTACGTGGGTAGAAAATAAACCCTGTGTAAAACTGTCAAACACACAAATGCATTTGAAAAGGACTGGTAGGAGCAGGGCCCAGACCCTGGCCAGGAAGGAGTGGTGTGGCCTCTGCCACAGCCTGGCTCTGCTGCCCTGCTCACATCAATTAATCGTGAGCAGAGCACAGTCTGACCCTGACCTGAGGGTGTTCCCTGCTCGGGGTGGCAGGGGCTGTGCAGGGAGCTGCCCCAGTGGAACTCTTCTCACCTCCCTGCTTGATCAGGGGTTATCCAAAGGCAGAGGGCTGGCTGGTGCTGAGGCTGTGTCACATTGTTCAGGCTGGAGAAGGGAAGGCTCCAAGGATAACTTAAAGCACCTCCCAGTACTTGAAGGGGCTACAGGAAAGCTGGGGAGGGACTTTTTATAAGGGCATGGAGTGACAGAACCAGGAGTCATGGCTTTAAGCTGGAAGAGGTGACACTTAGGTTAGACATGAGGAGGGAATTTTTTGCTGTGACATTGGTGAGAGCCTGGCCCAGGTTGCCCAGGGAAGCTGTGGCTGCCCCATCCCTGGCAGTGTTGAAGGGCAGGTTGGATGGGGCTTGGAGCAGCCTGGGCTGGTGGGAGGTGTCCCTGCCCATGCAGGGAGTTGGAACTGGATGATCTTTCAGGTCCCTTCCAACCCAAACCATCCTGTAATTCTATTGCTCTGGGTCACATCTGTAGGATCTTCCCCCCCTGCTGCCCCAGGCTGCCCCTTTCCCCAGTGAGTCCCACTGAACCCCAGGACTGGGTGAGTCAGTGCCCAGGTGGGTGGGGGTGTGAGAGGTGACAATCACAGCCCTGACGAAATGGCACATGACAGGCTGAGACAAGCCCCCACCTGCCAGGCAGGGGAGGGACTTTTTATAAGGGCATGGAGTGACAGAACCAGGAGTCATGGCTTTAAGCTGGAAGAGGTGACACTTAGGTTAGACATGAGGAGGGAATTTTTTGCTGTGACATTGGTGAGAGCCTGGCCCAGGTTGCCCAGGGAAGCTGTGGCTGCCCCATCCCTGGCAGTGTTGAAGGGCAGGTTGGATGGGGCTTGGAGCAGCCTGGGCTGGTGGGAGGTGTCCCTGCCCATGCAGGGAGTTGGAACTGGATGATCTTTCAGGTCCCTTCCAACCCAAACCATCCTGTAATTCTATTGCTCTGGGTCACATCTGTAGGATCTTCCCCCCCTGCTGCCCCAGGCTGCCCCTTTCCCCAGTGAGTCCCACTGAACCCCAGGACTGGGTGAGTCAGTGCCCAGGTGGGTGGGGGTGTGAGAGGTGACAATCACAGCCCTGACGAAATGGCACATGACAGGCTGAGACAAGCCCCCACCTGCCAGGCAGGGAGGGCTGCTGCCACATCCCAGGAGGTGCTCCATCCATACAGGTGGGAGAGCTGGGGCTCCTGGCTCCTCTTCCTGCTGCTCCCTTCTTCCTCCCGGGCATTCCCTGGGAGTCAGTGCCCGCTCGTGCGGGGCACGTGTGTGCTGAAGTGCTGGCCCGAAAGCTGCTGGGGAGCTGTGGGCAGAGGTCTGGAGGGGCGAGGGGAGAGTGTGCACAAAGGAACTAAGTGCTGACAGCCCTGTGGTCTTTGTTTCTTTGCAGACAAGCCCAACAGTTACTTTACCCAGACGCCGCCGACGCCGCGAGATGGTGAGTTCAGCGGGTACTGCGGGTACAGCGGGTACAGCGGGT